AGCAGTCTGGAATGCTTCGTTGCCACTTATGGGACTCCCCTATAATACTTTTGGAAGCTGGAAAGGTATTGTCAACTTGGCTAACCGCTAAGATGTTTTAGGTCCAGTAACACGGAATGACTTTAAAAATTATTTGTGTGCAGCTCATTGAATACCTGCCTTCAGAACGGTGCCTGACCTCATTTATGCAATTTTGCACATCTGAATTGGCTAAGGAACATTCTTATGATCCCTTTTATCTAGTATTTCTAAACGTCTGCTTAGGCTCCTTTAAGACATCCTCCTCCCCGCTAAGGGTGTTACAGTGCCTCATTGCCTTATATGATAACAGCGTCGAGTCTTATTAATACTAGTAGCGGTGTGCAGGAAGGGGCGGGATAATGGTTCCATGTGTATCCAAACGTGACTGCACCGCTCTCTTACACTCCACACAAACAAAACAAGTAGAGGACTCGAGTGCCCCTTATTTAACGAAATGTACAAAGAACACCCCAACTTTGTAGGCATGGGTATCCGATTGACCAACTTAAAACTACAGACAATAAGTGCACTTCCTGTCGTAGCTGCCTCCTTCAACTTCTGATAATGAAGGCACTATACCGATAGGCGCAGTTTATTCATCTAATCCAGTCTTAGGACCTTGATTTACTATCCTCAGATTACCGAATCAAACCGGACACAGCACGAAAGTTTATACTAATGAACTGGGAGGTTGATACCTCAAATGATTGAAATGAGCTTGGATTGTAGTGCCTCGGCTGACCCTATGTAGGGATGGTTGTGTTGTCCCGGTTGTTGTTCGTAGGAACGGGCCCTCAAAAATACTGCAGTTTGTCAAAAAATCGTAATTCCTTTGTCAGGTACGCTTGCTCGACCTAGATTAAACCTACCGTGAGTTCAATGAATGTCGTATTCTATCACAGTAGAACTCTGACTGGGACTGTCGCTGTTGACGCCCCGTTAACAATGCAACAACCGAAACTCCTTTTTCGGTCAACCATTTTTTGTACCTTTCTTTAATGCCGAACATTTTAAATCAACCCAGCAAAAGTGTCAATCCGTGGCCTCAATAATGCAAGCTATTTAGGAGACGAAGAAGAAGAATGGGCAATTACTAAAATATGAAGTTAATTGGTGTAAAGTTTCGGATTATCGCTCAAACCCATCATCTGCGACTGTCCCTAATGATGGGCTTGAGTGAGAATCCGAAACGTCAGCCCGATTAATTTGGTGTTCCAGCGACGACTTCTTCCTCTGATCTGCTTCCTAAAACTCCGTCTCTTCGTTCCTATCGGCAGTAGAAGCTATTCTGGACAAGCCAGTGCGCAAGCGAAGTTACAGCCCCTAGCGTTGAACACGCTCCTTCTGGTCAAAAATCTGGGCTCAAAACCTAGCCAGGAGGAATTTACATGCGTAAATCCTCACATTCTTATGGGTTTTTTAGCGTCGCCTGCAGGCCACCAAGGCCTTAACGATTTGTAGTACAGCATTTTCATGGCATAGTACATTGTGTGTGTGCGTGTGCGCGCGCGTGCCCCTGTGAGGCTGCAAAGACAAACACACTTTTGTCATTGCTTTTCTTTAGGACTGAAGCGTTTGCGTGCATGTACCAACACACATACACAAACGCAGGGTTTTCTTTTCTTCTCACCCCTGAAACATTGATCGCTGCTGTGCTCTCCGCATTGCTCCCACCCACATGCTCTGCGTGCTAACTGACTGTCGTCTATTTGTGTGCGTGCGTGTGTATGTCAGGTAGCGATTCTCATCTGCACACGATTACGCAAGTAAGCACGCCTGTGTGCGCGCGCGCTCGCACACACACATTTGCATTAACAGTAACCTGCTGAGAAGCACGAACCTTGCCTCCGCTGGCTTGCCTTTGCCTCCCGTCCCTGTATGGAACTTAATCCCGACAACATAAGTCACATT